CTCATCCCACCCCCCCAATCCCACCCCCCGCCCTCTCCCAGGGCCCTGATCCCCGGGAGGCTGCCTTCCGTCTTCACGTTAGGTCCCCGCTGGGCTCTCCCGCCAACCTGAGACCCGCCCCTGTCGAGGGGTAGGATGTAAGCAATCCCTGGTTCTATTCCCCAGACCTTCACATGCCCCACCCCAATCTTTACACGTCCCTCTCGCCCACCGCCCCCTGAGCCAGGACCCAGCCGCACACGCGTGTCCTGCTCCAGACCCCACGCGTGTCCCTAGAAGGTTGCCACATGACCTGTTACATGTTAAACGCGCTCCCGCCCCCACGAGCACGCGGCCGCACCAAACACACGGTATGGGTGTAGACCGGACCCGCCCCCTTAATCCAGTAGACCATCAATTTATGGAAGAGAGATTTAGGAAACACCGCCTCAAACACTGCGGGGGTTTTGAGTCTCGGACCCAGGATACACAACCCTGACAACTCGCCCAGGATGCAGTAGGAGGGATGTTAGTCAGACTTCGGGAAGAACTTCCTTGCTCCCTGAATTAGGTGTCCTGCACGTCTGGGGGTAAGAGGTTAGATAGGATGACTCCGGGACTGAAGGAAGTGGGGGACAGGCTACCCTTGTGCCCTTGGCCAAGGTAAAAGGGGGCCCAGCTATTTTAAGAAAATGCCGTTACTATGGCAACTGCTCTCCTTGGGAAAGCCAGGGCAGGCAGATGGTGACCTCGGAAGGAAGAAGGGGTCTATTTGGGTGGTCTGGGGGCGCGAGGACGTGTGAGGCCGGGGCGCGCGGGGCTCACCGCGGGGAGGGGAGGCGAGGGCTCCGCGTGGTGCTGAAGGGGACAGCGCCAGATTTGTCGCACTGCGCAGGCGCAGAGGCGCTAACAAAGCGGATGGGGAGAAGGTGCGCGGCCGGAGGTGGAGCGCGCCTACGTGGCTCTATCTTAGCAGAGGTCGATCCTTCCAGCTATTTCCAACCCCCTCCCCCCAACCCTAAGCAGATTGAAGAAGAGGGAGCAACTCCCTCACCCAAACTGGCCTTCTTTGGTCCTTCCCTGCTGCTGGATTCTCTCCTCTAGCTGCATTGAGGTATGGGGGAGCGAGGAAAGAATTCTGGAAAAACCAGAATGCCTGAGTTCTCTATGGACAAGGTACTTTCTCTCCAGGGCTTTGATTTCATCTTTAAAGTGGAGTGACAGACCTGCCCACCTTGCAGAGGTGCCCCAATGAAATAATAGTAGGAAGCAGTTTTTGTTATGAAGAGGCAGGTGAAGCGATTGCACCAAGGAAAAGCGCAACCCTGCTGGGGGGCAGCTTTCAGCGACAGCAGTAGCTCTCGCCACTCTGGCCACCAATGGATGGTGGGGAAAGCACTGCTCTAGGGGTTCCCCGGAGTGGTCCCTGGAACAAGGACCTGGGGACGCGGTGAAAGGGCGGCCCAGTCTGAGCCCAGAGCTCTGGGGCGTCACCGCCCCAAGATGGCCCAGACTCAGACCCCATAACTAAACCACCAGGCCAAGTGAGAGCAGTACGCCTGGTGGACTGAGATGGACACGCATTCTTCTCAGGACTCCAGACCTCCTAAGGAAGGAAAGTGACCCAGCTGCAAATATAGGCCTCTTTAGATATACATCTATTCCCCCAAGGTGTAAATCCATTCTAAATCGTTCGGGAGTGGAAGGAGCTGGATAGCTCTGTACTTCACAATTAACCAGGAATAGGAGGTTTAGGCAAACTTGCTTGATGAAGAAAGAAAAATTCTAGCTTCGTCCATTCAATTCATTCAACAATTTTCTAGTACCTACTACGTGCCAGGCGGTAAGAGCCTGGATAGTTTCTTCTCAGTTTTCAAAGTCCTTAAAATCGACCAGAGGGCAGAGGGGTAGGCCCAGAACCTTGGAGTCCTGGCTCCACCCCTTCTGCGTTTGGCCTTGCCTGCTCCTCCCATCACTACTTCACTCTGAGAACTGGTCCAAGTCTAATAAAGAAGCCAGTGTCTGCTGCACCATCGCGTCCTCTAGCCTCGGGTCTCAAGCCCTGTAGCGGAGAAGGCGAGGCCTAATTGTTACATCACCGGTCTGTTCCGCCCTCAGTTTTGGGATCCATCCGGAACGCTTTCAGATAGGATCCTCAGTGAGACGGCACTCGATTGAATCGGTCTGTCACTACAGCCCAAGGAGGCGGGTTCCCGGTGGCTGCTGCTAGGCCTAAACGAGAAGACCGTACTGCGCACGCGTAGTAGACAGCCGATGGAGCTACGGATGGAGCCGTCCGGAGGGGAGCAAGAACCCGGAGCCGTCAGGTACCGAGTACCGGAGGGGCCGAAAGAAGGAAGAAGGCCCTGGGGGAGGGGAGCTGAAATGGGGCCGGGCCTGGGAGCCGTTCTTAGGAGCCGGGGCGCAGGAGCAATAACGGAAGCGGACTTGTAGGTAATAGCGGCCCGGAAACGCCGCCTCCAACGCCCTTTTACCCGCAGGCTCCTGGACCTGCCCTGGGAAGACGTGCTGCTCCCACACATCCTGAGCCGGGTCCCGCTTTGCCAGCTGCTCCAGCTGCAGCGCGTCAGCCGGGCTTTCCGGGCCCTAGTGCAGCTGCATCTGGCGGGGCTGCGCCGCTTCGACGCCGCTCAGGTGAGCCGGGGGCCGGAGCCCCGCCCCTGTATGGGTACCGCCCCGGCTCCAGCCCAATCCCCAGACCCTCTGTCTACTCTTCCGGACCCCTTTGGGTCTCCAGGAATGCTGGGGAAGCGATCCACCAGTGGGAAGTACTCTCAAAGGGAGAGTACCGGGTATTGACTGGGAGGGCGCGTGGGGTCTCTCCTGGGAGGGCTGCTGGCGAGCCTCCAAGGGCAGGCTGCTGCCGAGAAAGAACTCCTTAGGGGTGGATAGGCAGCGCCTGCCCCGCCCCCTGGACCAGCTGAGAGTCGAGGTGCCTCCCCGTCCGCAGGTGAGTCCGCAGATTCCGCGGGCCGCATTTGCCTGGCTGCTGCGGGACGCCGAGGGGCTGCAGGAGCTGGCGTTGGCGCCGTGTCACGACTGGCTGTCGGACGAGGATCTGGTGCCAGTGTTGGCTCGGAATCCGCAGCTGCGGAGTGTGGCGCTGGCCGGTTGCGGGCAACTGAGCCGCCGCGCGCTGGGGGCGCTAGCGGAGGGCTGCCCCCGCTTGCAGCGCCTGTCGCTCGCGCACTGTGACTGGGTAGACGGGCTGGCGTTGCGCGGTCTTGCCGACCGCTGTCCGGCTCTTGAGGAGCTGGACCTCACGGCCTGCCGTCAGCTCAAGGATGAGGCTATCGTGTACCTGGCGCAGAGGCGCGGCGCGGGCCTCCGCAGCCTCTCGCTAGCGGTCAACGCCAATGTGGGGGACGCCGCCGTCCAGGAGTTGGCTCGGAACTGCCCGGAACTCGAGCACCTCGACCTAACCGGCTGCCTCCGCGTCGGAAGCGATGGCGTCAGGTGCCTGGGCCTGGGGTCGGTGGGATGAGAGGAGGGCAAGCACTTAGCCTCTGGGGGTAGGGGCAGGGCAGTAGTCAAAAGGCAGAACTGGGGCTTCTGGATTTTCCTGCTACCACGGCATCCCCATTCTGAACACGAAACGCCTCTAGGATTGCCTAGACCAGAAAGCCCACAGTTTAAAAGCTTTTTGAACCAGTATTTACACGTCAAAAGTTTTCACGTACAATGGCAGATTTCTGGCTTTTCAACCAGGGGAGCTGAGGAGCAGTTCCCCCTTTAAAAGACTTGGTCTCCGGCTCAATGGAGGCATTGAGTGTTTGATCCCAATCTAGGCCTCCCTCCCTCGTGTATGGAAGAAATAAGTATGCGTCGAGACACAGGGAGACAGGGGCTTTGCTGGCTTCCCCCACCGTGGGTGTAGCAGTTTCCTGCCCTTAGCCTCACCTCGCTCCTCCCTCAGGACATTGGCGGAGTACTGCCCGGCGCTGCGCTCGCTGCGGGTGCGGCACTGCCACCATGTGGCCGAGCCCAGCCTGAGCCGCTTACGGAAGCGCGGTGTGGACATCGACGTGGAGCCACCACTGCATCAGGCCCTGGTGCTGCTGCAGGACATGGCGGGATTTGCACCCTTTGTTAACCTGCAGGTCTGACCCGCCCGCCGACGGGGCACAGCTGGACTGTGTGGTGGGGCCTGACTATAAACTACAGGGAAACTGGACTGTGGGGGCCTCTGGTGAGAGGCCAATGCCCTGCCCCATCTTGGAGCTTCAAATAAAGAGCTTTTTACCCCCTCCTGCCTGGTTCTGCTGCCCTGTTGTAAATAGGGGATGTGAGGTTAGGAGAGGCGGTCAGATGGACACAGTCCCCCAGCACCGCAGCTCTCAGGCATAAATGACCAAAATGCACTCATCTTCCTGGAGCCACCTTTACTGTGTCCATGGGCAGCTCCAAGAGATGGTTAACAAGGACAAGGAGGTAAGAGAATGGGTAGAGAAGGGGTCAGGAGTTAGGGTGGGCCCTGTGTGGGGTGTAGGGCTCCTGCATCCCTCTGGGATCTGAGCCTAGAAGGCTCTAGCAGAGTCCAGTGAATGCCTCAGTGGAAGCGGTACTTTCTGGCTGGCTTGAGGTTGATGTATGTGGCCTTCATCTCTTCGGCCTCAGGGTTCCGCACATCTTTGAATCGCTCTCCCTTGGTGCTCACTACCTGGTTGTCGATGTATCGGATCAGCTTCTTGGGGGCCTGTCAGGCAGTCAGGCAGTGAGTAGCAGAAATCAGGAGATAGTCCCATCCACTCCACACCCCTAGCAGTCCCAACTCTCACCTCCCTGGGAGCCATGGGCCGGTGAATCTTCTGATCCTCTGCACTATCCACCATCATGTACCTGCCAAAATCTGGCTGGGTAAAGCTCTTGCCACCCTGAGAAAAACCTTAAAGAGCCCAGCCCAGCCCAGACTCACTTCTGCAGGATGAAGGACTTCAGCTCATCCTTTTGGGGGCCTCTAAGGTGCCTGGGCTGGTCCTGTAGAGAGGGGAAGCCTGGTCTAGAACCTACGGCACCAGTAGGAGAAGCACACAGCAGTAGGCCAGGGGCTGGGTCTTAACACTAAGGTGGAATGTAGCTGGGGCTACATGGGTTGGGGGTGTCTAACAGAGGATACCTGGTTGGGGCCATCCCAAGCTGGAGGCCCATCCTCCTTCCCCTCTACCAGCATCTGCACAGCTTCTTCCAAGTCCCCTCGAGCTTTGGCCAGCACCCACTGGGCCTGCTCCACCGAACAGGTTGGGAACACCTCCAGGAGTACATCTACCCCTGGCAGCAGCTCCTCCTCAGCACCGCTTGCCTGTGGGCATAAATGTTGATAAAAGGCAGTATTTCCTCCTTTCTTGCCCCTTGGCTCCCTCATCAGTATGCTCCTCTACCAGTACCTCCTCTTGGGTATCCCCAGCAGCAGAAGCCCTGGTCTCTTCTTTGAGCTTTTCAGGCCGCTGCAGGGGCTCTGTGGAGATGGGCACATGACCTTGGACCTTAGAGCTCTGTGGTTGCAGATTCTCTTAAAGAGGCAGAGAGTATCAGGTTTGCCAGGGCTTTGGAGAGGGGGTTTATGAGTCACCCAAGTGCCCAATCCTCAGACTCACCTTTGTTCCTGGCACCACTCAACTGCCCTGACAGTTTCTGCATCATGTCCCCGATAGCACCCCTGAAAAGACAAGAAGGGTAATAAGAGGACAATGCTGTCCACCCTCCACAATCAGCCAGCCCCCCTCCTCCTCTTGGCCCCAGTCAGGCCCCACCTTGGGATGTGGGCGAAGCCAGGCACATAGGCCTCCATCATTTCAGTGAAGGCCTCCATATCGAAGTTCTCCTCTGATGGGCCTGAGGGGCCCAGGTCCTCCAGGACCCCAAGCACATAGGAGAAGATGACCTCATCCAAGCCACTGCAGGAAGGGGATGGAACAAGCCGTGGGTAGGACTTTGGATACCTCCTGCACTCCTACCTAGCCTGAGGCTCCAGCCCTCAGGTTCATGGAGTCCATGAGCCAGACCTCAAGTCCTGAGGCCAGAGAATATCCCACCCTCCCTCAGAACTTTGGTTTCCCATTTGTCTAAAGAGGATGACAGGGAGAGGATAAGAAGGCCATTCCAGTAAATCATAATAAGCCCTCCCCCACCTCAGGAATAGGGTTGAGTGTTCCCACTCTCTAGTCTTTCAATTTACCAGGCCCCAGAGTACTACTCGGCAGCTCCAACCTCGCCCTAGCATGATCCTTTTAAGGAGAGCTGCTTCTACCTGAGGTCAGCCTCTGGGAGGTGCGTCTGGACAAAGGCAAGGAGGGCTGCACTGACAATCCTCTCCAGCTCCATGCTCTCTCCTCTCCTGAAGAGACACAAGATGTAGATTTATCAGGCCCTCTTCTGCTTGCCCCTACCCATTAGGCCCAGGGGCAGCTAGCTCCTCCCTCTTGCCCTGCTGTGGAAGCCATTGTGTTGATGTTGCTTATAACTTCCAGCTTCTCCAGCCCTCCCTCGCTCCCTCAAGCAGAGCCGAAGCCCCCTCCGTGCCCATCTCTCCACCTCCTCCAGCCTGAGACAGGGCAGCTTCCAGAGTGGCAGTTCCCCTCACCCCTCCCCCTGACCTCTCCATCTCCCCACTCCCCAGCAGCAGGCCCAGACCCTCTGGCAAGAAGCCAGGGTCTTGGGGTCACATGCCTCCTGGCTGAGGAATCTCATCATCGAGAGGAGCACTTGGTCCCCAAGTCCAACAACAAGGGGCCCATTGTCCAGCCCCCCAAGGAGCAGGCTGCAGGACTGAGCACAGCCCTTCCCCCACCCAGAATGGCACACCCACCTTCTGGCACAAAGGGGCTTTTCTGGCTCTAGGGCCCTGATAGAAGGGGAAGTCTTTCATGAATTCTCTCTTCCTGCCCAATCCTTTCCCTTCCAGCATCTTGAGACTGTCTACAAAGGACTTTCCACCTTTCTTCCCAGGGCCTACGGAGCCCTGCAAGAAATGGCCTTGGCTCACCTCTCCAATATCCCCACTCCCTTCTCACTCCACTCCCACCCCACCAGCCTCTTTGCTGTTCCTCAAACTTGCCCAGGTTCTTCCTATCTCCTTCAGATATCTACATGGTTCATCCCCTTACCTCCTCCAGGGCTCTGTTCAAATGTTGCCTCCTCAGAGAGACCTTCCCTGACTAACCTACCAAAATAGGTACTCCCCATACTCCCTAATCCCTTACCCTGCTTTATTTTCTATATAGCATTTACTATAGCTTAATGTTATAGCTTAATGTATATTGCCTATTGTCTGTCCTCCCCCACAGAATGTAAGCTAAGAGAGAGGAAGGTGGGAGGACTTTTTCTTATTCATTGGTGTAACCCTAGCACCTAGAAAAATGCCTGCACTTAGTAGGTGCTCAGTAAATACTTATTGACTAATTTCATTCCCACCTACATGCGTTTGACTCCCAAGTCTGTATTTGGGAGTCAGGAACACGTAGGTGGTAATGAATGGCTCCAGACCCATAGGTCCAAATGTCAGCTCTCCATTCCATTCAGAAGACTCAGAGGCACCTCCAATTTGACCTACTCCATCCAAATTCACTATATCCTTCCAATCTGTGTACATTCCCTCTCCAAATATGCACCTCCTCCTGTTTCATCAGCTGACGCAACCACTCACTCACTCAGCTGCCAATCCTTAAACTTGCGGATTATCCTTGATTTCTCCCTCTCAATTCCACCTGCTACACTCGATCAATCACCAAGTCCTGTCGATTCCATTCCTTCATTCGTCTCCGTTCTATCTGCTTCTCTTCAACTTCAGTCTGACTTCTGCTCCAACATCTCTACCCCAATTTCTCAGGCTAAGGCCATGAGTTACTTTTTCAGGTTTTGTTCTAATTAAGTCGAACCTCATGAACTTGCCAATATTGCCTGTTTCTGATCTACAAAAGAAAAAGAAAAAAAGAAAAAGGCAATTTCTTATGGTTTCACCTAATATTTGCCCTTTCAAGCAGCACCAATGTTGGTTTCTAAGGCACCACACTCTCCTGTTTCTATTCTACCTCTCTGGCCATTTCTTCCCAGGCTCTCCTCTCTGTCCTCCTGTCCTCTGATGCCCTTAAATGTGGCAGCAAAGCTCAGGCTCAAAACTGCTCCTCTACTCTCCTTACTCTGCACCCTCTCTGAAAGATTTCATCTGGGCCCATGTCTTTATGTACCAATTCCATGTCACCAATTCCTAAATGTCCAATCCTCTAATGCAGTCTCCTCTTCTGAGGTACACACCTGTACATCTACCACTCTGACACCTCCAAGTGGGTGACTTATCATGTCCCAAACTAACATTCTCTTAAGTCTTTTGTTCCTCAAGGCTGTCCTCAGTAAATGCATGTCCACGCACCCACCTGTTCCTGCCACAAGCCTGGGAATTATCCTACTCCCTGCCTTCCCACATCCAATCAGTCACAGAGCCCTGACCATTACCTCTCAAAACATCTACTTCCTTCCATCTCTACTCAACTCTGCTCCATCTCCACTTAACTGCAAGAGCTTCCTAACCCTTCTTCCCACTACAATCTTTCCCCCAACAACCTATTCTCCACAAAGATCACAGTTCTGTGATCTTTACAAAAAAATCATGTTTTTCCTGTTTAAAATCTATCAGTGACTTCCCACGTCCCTTCAGATAAGTCCAGATTCTTTTTGTGGCCTTTTGAGTCAGGGCTTTCCCCTGCCTACATCTCTCTAGCCTCACCATGCACCACACCCTCCCCGGATCACTCCTTTGCACTTCAGTTTTCTTTCAGTTTGTCAGTACGCAAGCTCTTTCATGGCAAGGGCCTTTGCGCTGTTTCCTCTGCCTGGGCAACATTCTACCTCCACTCCTTCACTTGTCTAATTCCTTCAGGTCAGTTTAAAATTCCCTTCCTTAAGGGATGCTGTCCCTGACCCTCGTGAACTGTCCCCTCCATATTACACCATCATTGAAGACTGCCTGTTTCTTTACTTAGCAGCACCTTTCACAGCTATAATCAAATAACTATTTGGGCAATGTTTAATGTTTCTTCCAGTTGTTTCCTGAGGGCAGGGACTATACACCTGGCTTATTCATCAATGTACATTCCGTATCTCCCATGATGCTCAAGTAAATGCTCAATAAACAGTTATCTCCATCTTTACAGATGAAGAAAGGGAAGCTCAGTGGGTTTAATGACTTGCCCTAAGTCACCTAGCTTGACTGTGGTAGTCAAGATTTAAATCCAGTTTGCCTAGTTGAGTATATTCTAGGGGATACTCTGAGGATGGGGGATATCAAGACTTCTAAGTGAGTTGAGACAGGCCTACCACCTATGATCAGTTTCCTGGTCCCCTGAGTGTATCATAGAGTTGCTGTGACAGCACAGGGGTCACTGCGGACAGCAGGACTGAGAAGCTCTAGCCTGCTGAGGGGATGCCTGCCTCTTGCTCCAGACCCTAGTATGGGCCCTGGGGAGGAGCAGAACTCCCCAGATGAGGCATACCAGATCCTGTCACGCAGCTCCCCCAAGAGTTCAGCCCTCTATAGAGACCAACATCTGCTCTAGGTTACATCAAATCCTGGCTGCTCTGTTGCTTGGCGACTTCTGCTGGGACAAAGGCCCATGGATGCTGCATGAAAGCTCAGTTTCTAGGGATGAAGCTCTCACAAATGTGTCTGATGCCTCTAGATTTCTAACCAAGGTCTGAAGACCAGGGAGTTGTTATTGGGAAACTTCACTTCACCCAAATTTCTTCTTCCCCTGAGCTTTTGCTCTAGCTTGTCTCCTAAGGGAACATCCTCCTTTCTCTTGTTCTTGGCCTGCCAAACTCTACCCTGCCTTCAAAGCTTGCCACTTTTTTCTTTCATCCTTCTCTATGCTGCTAGCTTTCCTGACATTTCTCTCCTGCCCAGAGGCTTCTCCTCTAACATTTCCCCTCCAAAGTCCCTGAGCTGGGGAAGCTGTAGCCTAAGTAGCCAGCCTTCTCCAGGTTAAGAACATGGTTTCCATGAGACTTTTCACATTCTGGATGTAGCCCACAGAACCCCATTACTTCATGGAACCTCCAAATCAGGACTTATTGGTTAATAGCACCCGTAAAATGTGACTGTCGTCCTGTCATGACTCCTTTAAACACCTCTGATAATAGCATTTACTGACTACTTACAATGTGCCAAAGATTGTTCTACACACTTTATTAACTTACCTAATTCTCACAATAACCCTAAAACATAGATACTAATATTATCATATTATCCCACTTTACCCAAACGGAAATGGAGGCATTCATTGATAGGTTAAGTAACTTGCCCAAGGTCACAGTAAGTTAATGGCAGATTTACACTGAGGAAGTCTGGCTCCAGAACCCTGTTAACCATTGCACCACCTCTCATGATATAAATCCTCCTCTCCTGCCTGGCTGGCTCTCTTGCCTACCTCAGAATTTTTGTTCACACCATTTTCCCCACTCAGAACATCTTTCCCTCTGCCTCTCATTCTGCAGGATTCATTTCCTCCTCTCAGCCTACTCCTACTGCCCCATTTTCACTGCCCCCAGCTGGCCTGAGCTTGCCAGGACCAGGTACAGGCCTGGAATCTCCAGATGCTCCATACAGACCCTCTGGACAAATTTAAGTGAGTCTGAGGGAAAAAGTATCATGCTGTTCCCTCAGGGTAGGGAAGTGCTCAAGATAAGGGGAGAGCAGAAGGCCATGTGGGAGAAGTCCTGGGAAGCAGTGTAAAAGTCCTGGGGCACTCAGAGGGTCTAGCTCAGAGGTCTTCACTGCTTCTCCCAGCCGCTATGAAGCCTGGCTCCTGGGGCCCTAGTGCCATAACGCAGGTTCCAGAGGACATCTAAGACCCCCAAGTCAGGTCTTAGAGGCGCCAAGGACACTGAGAGGTACAAAGGATTCCCGCATCCAAAGTCAGGCGGGAGCACAAACGGGTGGAAGCGGGAGCACAGGAAGTGGGACCACAATGATGGCCGACCCCTGAAGCGAGAGCTTCTTAAGCTAGCGGGGTACCCGCAAGGGTCCAAAATAGTGGGCCCGAGTGCGTGGGGATGCAGTTGTAGCCATGGGGTTCACAGGACCAGGGAGGCCTGAACAAGCTGGGATGTGCCTTGACACAGGCTACGGCGAGAATCAGAGATGGGAGTCTGGCGGGCCCCTGGGAGTACCGTGGGGGAACACACAGGACAGGTCCCCTGGGTCAACGCTCTCCGCGACTCTCGTACCCCTGGGCCGGGGGCTGGAGGGGAAATCACCTGCTCTGTCGGGCGCCGCCGGAGATTTGTCCCGCGCGGTGCGGCTATCATTCCCCAGCCCACCAACGAGATCAAAGGCGGGTCCCTCCTAGAAGTACCGAGGTAGCCATTTTTGAGAAGGGCAAGTGCCCGTAACTGGGCGGGGCTTCTACTCATACTCATTTGTCTCAGGGCTTTGGAGGGGCTCCCGCTGCAGCCATTTTTATTGCGGGTAGGGAAGAGTTGGACGTGGAGACACCGTCAGTGAGTGCAGTCGCAGTGGCCGACTGTGTGTATCCCCGGCTAGTTTCTTGTAATCGGCCAGAGGCCGAGAACTTTTGGACCCCACCCAGTGTCTTCCCATCTGCCTTATTTTCTTACCCCCAAATCTCTGCCCTGTCTACGGCCATGCCACCCTGAACTGCGTGATCCCGGAAGCTAAGCAGGTTTGGGCCTGGTTAGTACTTGGATGGGAGACCCCTTAGGAATACCAGGTGCTATAGGCGTTTTTGTTTTGTTTTTTAAATATCCGTCCTCAAATCCTATAGCTTTACCCCACTCTCCTTATCTCCCCTGTCCTTCCACAGACCCATAGCTCCCTGGTTGATCTGGTGGTCGCTTCTCCCAGATCTGTTGTTCTTGCCCAAATCCTGGTGTCTCTCCCCTTTTGTGTCCAGTGCAGGATCAAGCCCTGTCACCCAATCAACTCTTAGGTGCTGACTGTCCCCTTTGCATTCCTTTAACAGAGATGTCTCCCAAGATTAGGGTGGGCTGCAGGGTCTGGGTCTTGGGCCCATGGAGCCAGGTTTGAATTAGAGGAAGGGAAGCAGTGCTGTGGGTGAGGATCCACCGGAGCTTAGATCCAGGATGGCTTGCAGGCCATGCTTACCGCAAGTGCCTTCATGCCCATGTCGGCAGGGATTCTTGTTTAAGACAGCTGGACTCCAGGACCCAGCAAGGCCTCAGCTTCCTCTTTCTGTTCCTGCTGCCTCAACTTCCTGGTGCTACCCTATGGGGAAGCCCACAGCCATCCTTTCCCAGGAATCCCACAATGGGTCATGAAGGAAAGAGTTCCCTTCAAGGATAGGCTCACCCATCCCCAGTCAGCAGATGAGCCCCTTCTTCAGGGTTAGTCTCTTTGTAGGGTGCTGGGAATCCAGACACTTGCCCTCAGGAGCTTCTGGTCCAAGGTAGAAAAAGTCCCATCCTCTCCTCTTCCTCTAAGGAATTGAGGCAGTGCCAAAATATGGAGAAAAGGGGGATTACTTCTCCCTCTTCCAGCCTTGTCCCTCACTACAGGCTCCTGCCACCTGACCAAGATCCTCTGGCCTCAAAGAAAGCAAGATGTTGGCTGCTGGGGAGAGGGAGCAGAAAAGGGGAGAGAGGAGGAAGGGAGCACATTTAGCATCGTGGCTCCCATAAAAACACTGCTGCTACCAGCCTGGATCTGCTGGGGTTAATGAGGGGTGGGACAGTTACTTTCAACTCTGGCCAGACAGGCCCCTGGTAAGGGGACAGTGGTTTGCTCTGTCAGCCCCCGGCCTCTGTAAGCCCTCTAAAGACTGACCATCCCTCTTCTTCCCTAATTCGCCATCTTCCTCCCACTGACATTTCACGATACAAATGATGACTCTTCTCTCTCTCCCCCTCCCCCCACCCCTATTACGGGAATTTCATGGTTCCTCAGTAGAGCTGTTCCTCAGTAGAGTTCTGGCCCAAGACCCCTGCAGCCATCCCTGAAACTGTGACTCTCCCCCTCCCCCACCTCATGTTTCTTGGATGGCAGTTGGATATAGTTAGATATTGTCAGAAAGAACTTCCTGAGCTTTTGGGGAAGGATGATGGGAAAGGTCTCTTACAGGGAGCCCCTCAATTCCCAGCTCAAACTCTTAAGGGTGCCAACTCTGCGGCAGGGGTAAGGTTCTGGGATCAGAGGAGCAAGGAAAGGGACGACCACAGACACAAGGATACACACAAACTGTAAGGTAGGGGCTCCAGGGAACACTTGTGCTGCTGGACATTCCATAGCTGGCCAGACCTTAAACCCCTTATTTTCCATCTCTTCAGCTCTCAATCTCTCCCTCCCCAAGATGGGAATAGACTCCACCTGCCCTTTGGATGCTGCCTGGAGAAGCCACATAGGGTAAAAAGAGGTAGAGTGATGCCTCCTCTTTCTCCATTCCCTCAGATGAATTTTGCAGCTGGTATTTGGGTGTCTGGGTCTCCTTACCTGAGGGGAAAAGCTAGAAACCTGTGCTTGGGGAATTGGGCTTGAACCTGGCATAAAGGGCAGATTTCCCCGACATTAAGAGCAGAGAAAGAACCTAGCTGGCTTGTCTCCAGGGATAAGAGGGACTCAGTCAGAGACTGAGGTGAGGAAGGAGATGCTTGGAAGGATGGGGGTGGGGGTCCCCACTCTTGTTTGAAGTCAGAAACGGCTCTCTGGGCAGTGTGCCTGGCCCTCCCACGCCTTCCTCCTTTCTCAGAAGAGCCAGGGCCAGGCGGAGGCGGGAGTTGACTGAGGCAGAGTGGAGGCTCTATTTAAGGAGCACGCAGAGAATCACTGCAGATCCAGCCCCAGGAGCGGGAGAGGAGGCTTTATGGGTAAGTGTGGTCCCCTGTCTCTCAACTTGAAGAGTGAGTGAGGTAGGGTGGCTCCTAAGCCTCCTGGCTTGCCTCCCCTCTCCAGGGATAAGCTGCCACTCTGCCTGGTGAGTGGAAATAGCACCCAGCCCTCAGTTTAACTCTCTCTCTAGAAAGTGAAAGTGTGTTTGGGAAAATTTTTCTCTTCCACTTCCCTACCTTTTGGGTACTTCAGATGTTTACTTCAGGTGGAGAGATTTTCATGGAGCTGGGATTTCTGGACCCCTATGTTGGGGATCTACATTTTGGGGGTCTCCTTTGACTCAGGAAGCCCCTCAGCCTCTAGAGAGATGCCCTTCTCAGTGTACTTGTTCTGGCTCTTCTCCCAGTCAGTCACCCCTCCAGCTCCACATCTAGTCCTATCAGGAGCACATTTGGGCAGGAAATGATGGGACTGACTTGGCAGTACCTATGGAATCTCTGCCATGGCCCTGAGCCCCCTCCCCTAATATCCTACATCAATTTCTTTTGAAATTTAAAGAACTTTCGCCCCTTTCCCTAGCAATGGCCTCTATTTTCAGCTCTAAGCTCAGACCCTCCCTGAGATAAGAGGAATCTTGAGATCTCAGGTTCTTTATCTGACCCATTCGGGAAACGGACAAAATTTCACAGAAGAGAGCATGGGAAGGCAGCATCAAAGCTGAGAGAACTTTGGCTACCTGGCTCTGAGAACTGAATTCCATAGGCTGTGACCTCTAGCAAATGCCCTAGGGACTCAGTTCCAGTGCCCGGCTGTGCTACCCCATCAACACTGAAGTCATGAGAAAGCTGTTGGTTTAGGCGCACAGTGTTCTACCCAGGTGCTCCTTCAAGCACCCATTCTAGCTACTGGCTGATCTTTTAATAACTTCAGCTAGGGCTACCCTTCTGCTTGAAGACTTCAATAACTCCCCAAAACTCCTTACCTTGCCGTAAAAGTCTTTCATAAATTGGCCTCCACTTAGCTTTCAAGCCTGATCTTCCAGTGAAACCCTGCTGCTTCCTGCTTCTGCTGCCATGCTATTTACTCAAGCTGATCCCTCTTGAGTGCTTCTTGGGACACCTCTTTCCCATCCCTATGTGTTGAAATCCTATATAGCCTTCAAAGCCTCTCTCAGATTCCTCTTCCAAGAAGCCTCTCTCAACTCCCCAGTGGTGCATATGATCTGCACATCCTCCATACTCCGCTCCATCAGGGCTTGGTTCGTGAACCCCGTAGTGTCTAGTCCAGTGTTCTGCACATAGAAGCTGTTCAATAAATGTTCTTTGAATTTCGCTGAGTGTCTCTCATGTGTGAAGAGGCAGTTTGGCCTAGAGGTTAAGGCTAGAGTCAGATTTTCCAGATTTGTTCTCCATGTGTGGCCTTGGGTTAATTGTTAACCTCAGTAGGCCTCAGTTTTCTCATCTGTAAATGGAAATAATAATTATAACCACATTAAGGTTTTGTGATGATTACATCGAGTTGATAGTTCTATATAGGGTTTTAGCACAGTGCCTGCATGTAGTAAGTTCTCAGGGATGTGTATGAGGTTGTTATGATTCTTATTTTACTCCTTTGAGTAGAATGTGAGCTACCCAGTTGAGAGGTAGAATAGGGCTTAAAATTGATCAGCCAGGGTTCATTTACTGAAGGGCTTCAGACCAGATGCCTAGGTTGGGTAAGGCTGGGGCAAGGCTGAGAGGAAAAGGCTATCAAGATCAAGGTTTGGTGGCCCAAGCCCTGCTGGGATCTAGAACCTCTGGATTCCCACCTTCCATGTGACCTGAGATGAGTCATTCCCTCTCTCTGGCCTTGGTTTCTCAGCATAATGTAAATTGAAGCGGTTTGGCCAGATGACCAGCAAGGTCCCTGGCAGCCAGATGTTTTATAAGTTCTAAGCTTCTAAGTATTAAGTTCAAAGAAAAGATCAAAGAAGGATGCATCTAGGCTCCCAGCAGGGCTCCCTTACATCCACAGTGCCTGGAGCCAGCACTGGAGTTTGGAAGTATGGGATATGCTGGACTGAGCTTAGTGGCAGCATTCCCTTCAAAAGCCTGTAGTCAGAGGATAGGGGTAAATTTGTGTGCAACCTATGGGCATTTCCAGGGCATAAGGGGAAGCATTAGGAGCAATGTGAGCAATGTGGATTCTCAGAGATGGGGGAAGTTGCGGGACTTCAAGGGTCCAGACCCAAGAGGATAGAGAGGACAGCATACCTTATTTGGTGTGAGGCTCATGATTTACTTGAAATCTGCTTTGTTTCAAAGAAGGATTTGAGGGGCTTACAAGCAGAAGACAATTCTCAGATTAAAACAAAAAGTCTGTGACATAAATATATAGTACACAGTAAGTGTGTATCCTTTTTGACCCAGAGATTCAATCTACTTATCACTTTTTTAGTTTTAGTTAGAAATTATTTCAAACTTACAGAAAAGTTGCCAGAATAGTGCAAAGGACACTTGCTTATCCTTCTACCAGATTTACCAACTGTTAA